GGAGCCCAGCAATTTGTGCTTTAACAAGCTGTCCAGGTGATACTGAGGCACATTCAAGTTTAAGAGCCAGATGCCTATATCATTCCGTTTCTGTTCAGTTCTATGACTTGTCTCTGCCTACTTTTCTTTTTGTGCTTTAGTCTCCTTTGTAATTACCAACCATTTTGTTTGGTTATCAATTGTTTCATACCTGAAAGCCCCCATCGCCATCCAAAAAGGGAAACAAAAGTTAACAATTTTCCCCTTAAGTGATTTAAAATTAGAATCTACAAGTCTCTTATATTTTTTCCACTCCTAATTATTATATCTGTTTTATTGAAAAGCCAGGCAACTCAGTATGCTTTAATTTAGTTTACCAGGTGTTCATTTTCACAGCCATTGTAAAACATAAACCCACTCACAAATCTGTAAATCTTTGCTCTGTGTTTTGTTTTTAATAGGTAAACAGAAAAATCTCATATCACAGGAAACTACAGGTAGTTTACTACTGAAAAAAAAATTGGTTTTCACAGTACTGGTTTCCCAACAACTTGAAAAGCACCAGGCAATTCAATTATCCTAAAATTGCCATCCAATTTGTTTCTCTGTGGGAGAGCTAGTATTCTTATTTCATGAAGACCAGGAAATTATCTGCTTTTTGGAATATGTGAGTCTTTTCCTTCCTATTTTTGCTGAATCTCTGAAAGAATATTTAGGGGCAGCAGGGATGGGGGAAGGGTTGGGACTGGGGGAAAGGGAAGAGGTAAAATGGGAGCTGACAAAAAAGGTGTTTTTCATTTCAAATAACCCCAAAATATCACAATTTGTTAAATATACTTTGAAATTATCCTTTGGCAAATTTAACCTAATGCTTAGGTCCTTCAAATAATTGATTGGTTTGGGTAATTATTAATTTCCCTCCCACCAGTCCTCAAATGCTTATGCAATTAGTTTTCAATCAACAAAATTTGTAGACATGCATGATTTTATAATAAATTAGTATTAATGTGTAACATTTTGAGGAAATGTCATTCTCCTGCCATTCATTATGAGGCATTTTTGGGGAAGCAAGTCATTCACTTAAACTGTAATGAAAAGCACTTAGTATTTATTAGTGTGTAGGAGGCTTGTTCTCAAGGGAGTATTTCACAGCTATTATTCATTCAATCTTAGTTCCCTGGGAGGGAGGGAAAGGGAGCCTTGTGAGCCAAAGTCAATGAGTTGAGTCATTATTCAGCTCCATTCCAAAGGACTACTCTGTTTCAGCCCCAGGTTCAAGTTAAGATTCTCTGGCTCAGGATTTTCTTTGTGATCTAGTCCCATTGGCAACAGCTCAGACATCACTTGTCTGTTCTCTGATCACCTTCCTGGGAGGGCCCTCAGATGCACCCATGGAACAAGAAAACTTCATAAGGAATAAGGGCCTTCCTAGGTAAAACAGACGTTCCTAGAGTTCCACCTTCGGATTTCTTCTGAGATCCCCACAGTACCCATGGCCAGATGTTCTTATTTTCAACACTCCAAGATCTTAAATTTGGTGGTAGTGATGATAGTGGTCCTCCTTTCTGATTTTATCTTCATTGATTTCTCTCTTTTGTACTACCTTCTTCTTATAGAAAGGGCACTTTGGTCTTATTTGTCTCAAGTCTTTTTTCTATTCCTAGCCCATCAAGTTCCTTCTGGTTTCCTTTGCTCTACCAACCAGTCTGAACTGCAAGACAAATTCTTTCTTTTTTTTTTTAAAGATTTTATTTATTAATTTGAGAGAGAGAGAATGAGAGACAGACAGCATGAGAGGGAGGAGGGTCAGAGGGAGAAGCAGACTCCCTGCCGAGCAGGGAGCCCGATGCGGAACTCGATCCCGGGACTCCAGGATCATGACCTGAGCCAAAGGCAGTCGCTTAACCAACTGAGCCACCCAGGCACCCAAGACAAATTATTTCAACACTGTCTTTTTTAACACTCATTCCACCCCTTAACTCTTCTTGAGTCTTCCACATTAATACCAGTCCCTGATCATCTCAACTTTCTTTTCCATCTCCGTATCTAAGCTGCCAAACTCTGGGGAAAGATTACAAAACCATATAAAGTAGTTTTTCTCAGCAGTCCTTTCAAACCCTCCGGTGAACTTTGTACAGCTTCATGCAAGACATTATTCTTGTCTCCTCCTGAAATGCCTCATCACAATCCCATCTCCCTTATTCTTTAAAGGTGATCTTACCACTTGTCATGACACCCGTTTCTGCCTCCCCCCTTCAAATTTTGTGCTTCCACTCTTTTCTTTCTTCTTTACTGCTTCAGAGGTAGTTTTGCCTTTTCTCTCTTCAACTCTGTCATCATCCCACCTTTCCCTGTTCCTCTTCCTGACATTGCCTTTGCTCAGCTCTGTCCTTCAGTCTCCTCTTTTCACCTTTCTCCTGGATGCTTCTGTTAGGCCTACAAACACTCTCAGTACTTTCCTATGAATAACAATGAACAAGCAAGCAAACAAAAGTCAACTTCCCTTGGTTTTACAATCCCTTCAGATTGTTATCTTCTTGGTTTCCTTTCTAGGTAAATCTGTTCGCTCCTGGATCTCCTGAAAACTGGCGAATGCCACATTGTTTCATCAAAGTTGCTCTCAGAGGCCACCAATGACTTCTAATCACCAAATCCAATAAATGTTTTATTATTCAGTTTACCTTATTCATTCTGACATGTCTGTTCTTACCAACTCATCTTGAACTCACTCCATTGCTTGGCTTCCAGGAGACATACCATGCCCTAACTGTGCCTTCCTTGCTTCTGTCAAGGATTCTGATTTCTTCCTCTCCCAACTTGTCAAAAGTGATCTTCCACGAGGTGCTTTCTCTAGACCTCTTTAATCTCTTCCTTGACTTCATCAACTCCCACATTTTAAACTGTTGCTTCTTGTGGATCATTCCAAAATCTAAATTCCAACTGCCACTGGACATTTCTACCTTGGATCTTTTAAAGAAAGGGTTGGAAACTTTCCATAAAGGATAGATAGTAAATATGTCAGCCTCTGCAGGCCATATGGTGTCTGCTATGATTACTAAACTCTGCTGTTGTAGTGTGAAAGCAGCTACAACACATAAATGAGTATGACACTGTTTCAATAAAACTTTATTTATGGACACTGATATTTGAATTTCATATAATGTTAATGTTTTACAAAATATTAGTCTTTGGATTTAAAAAAATTAAAAGTGGAAAAGTCATTCTCCGCTCTTAAAGACAGGCAGCAGGCTGGATTTGGCCCACTGGCTGTAATTTGCTGACCTCTGTTTTAGATGCATTCCCATAGTCACACGTTCCTCAGCCATTTACTACTCCTTCCCATTGTGATAGTGTTTCCTCTTTAAGCATGTCTTTATTTTTATTTTGAAATAAAGAGTTTTATGCCGTGTAATATCCTGCAGGTACAGACTTCCTTTAGAGTGGGCTTGGGGAAAACAAGTATGGATACAGCACTCTTATTTCAGAAAAGGAAGTTGAGGCCCAGCTTGGATTGTCATAGAGTTAAGGAGTACTAAAGCCACCATTAGAACTCAGTTCTCCAGACTTTTTGGACCAAGCCTCTATATAAATTGTCACACAGCAGTCAATTGCCTATAATGTGTGGTTTATATCTTTCAATACAGAAAGAAGTAGAAAACTTGTCAAGGCTCTTTTCAGATCTATAATCTATACTATACTGCACCCTGCCCCTCCATAAGCATGTTCTTTTTTTTTTTTTTTTTGGTCAGTCTGATGGCTCATTATGATGGTTTTACCTAGATTAGTCAGGCAGCCAGGAACTGGTGGAAGAGAGGCAACAATGTTTACTAAAGCAAAGTTCCACAGATGTCAGTGTAAGGTTGAAGTAGAAAACTTCATAAGTGTAATGAAGATCTAGATAACAACTACCATTATTTTGGTACCGGCAGAGAGAATTAAAGCTCAGTATTGTATTTAAAAAAAAAAATGCATTTGCTATTAGAAAGAGAGAATGGACGATGTTCCTATAGCTAATGCCTATTTTATCATCTTCCATGTATTTTCTCAGAACTCACTTGGGGTTCTGAGTATTACTAAGAATATTATAATATTCATTTAGTTTTTATGAGTTTTATGAGATCATAGATTATGCTGTAATCCCTTTTCTACCTCTTCAATTTTAGGATTGAGAGAAATGAATTCACCCTTATGTCATTCAAACGCCACGTTTGTTTTTTTAGCCATAGGCTAATTTCGCACTATTTATTTTAACTTCCATATTTTCTATTATTTTGTTAATATCTATTCTGATAGAAGAACTTTACCAAAAAAACCTAAATTATAAATACGATTTTGCTTTGTGAGGAAAACAAGGCAAACCAACAAATACAAAAACAAAAATACTCAGCAAAGAAGCACCATTAAGTATAATACCAAATATGGGTATAAAAAAAACAAACCATGAACAGGTGTATGTGATTCTACCCTCAGTCCAATTCATACTTTTTTTTTTTTTGGAAATTTGATGATATTAACCTTGCTTTATGCTTTTTTTCATTATGGTATTATAGGGTGACCCCTGAAGAATCTTGTTTATTAGGAGTACATATGATCATAAGCAGAATTTAGCCCTAATTAAAATGTGATTATCATAGGATACCAAAGAAATGTGCTTCTGAAACGGGTATTCTTTTACTTATTTTCCTTTAATAGATATAATGAAGGTCAGAACATATTACCCCTTTCAAATGACTAGTCTCTGGAAAATATATCTGCCTTTGGTAAACAGATTTTTATGTGTGAATGGGAGATTAAATTTAGCCTTATTAATTTCTTAATGTATAGAGAAACTATCAGAATCAGAGGAAAACAACTGAAAATGTTGAGAGCTTTGTTTTCTGAAGAAAATTACTTCTTGCTTATGTAGTTTGATTATTCTCTACATTGAGGTAAAATACTTTACAACAGACATCTTGTAAAATAATTTCTGTAGTAGTATTATAGAGTAGGCTAAAGCTACCGTAAGAAAGAAAACCCCCAAATTCAGTGGTTCAAAGAACAATGAAGTTTATTTGTCTCCCAGTTAACAGTGCAAGATAAGCATTCCAGCTTGGTGGGCAACTCTGCTCCAGTCAGCCGTTGGACGCCCAGGCAGGGAGCAGCTCTGCCATCAGCTGTTGGCTTGCAGGGCTCCGGGTGTCGCCATTCCAGCTGGCTAAATAGGGGACAGCCAGGGAGTCTCCGGCCAGGGATAGCCTCTGAAGCAGATAAAGTAGAATTTCCTTACATCACTTGTACTCATATTCCACTGGCAAGTATCCAGTCACACAGCCACACGGCACTACAGGGGAGACTGGGAAATATGGTCTGTCCATGTACGCAGAAGAAAGGAAGAACAGAAGCAGCAGGCAACTGCATTCTCCATATACTGATTGTTCAAAATTATAAAACACCAATAATGTACACTGCAAGGCCTCCAGAATGTTATACAAACACAAAAGAATATAACAAACACGTTATTTTTTTCTATTATGAGAATATTCAACAAGGTAAAAACTAAGGCAGGTCTCTTTGATTTTATGTTACCACATCAAAAAGATTTTTGTTATCAAACACACAGAGGAAATACCCAACTTAAAATAAATCTTGTTCTAAAAGCTGGGAATTCATTTTCTCATAGAAACAATGTTCTAAAAATGGCCAGGTTCCAAAGTTATTTCAAAAGGGCTCACTTACCTCCTGTGGTCTATCTGCAATGAAAAGTAGTGGAAGACAATACTGTCCTGTAGCTCTCAAAATGGAACTATTAGCTAGAAATAATTTTTAAAAATATTTTTAATAAGGAAATTATGTTTAAGTAGAGAAGGATATGGTAGAGTAGGAAATGGGAAATGAATACTTTCATGAAAAGCCAAGGGGAACTTTCAAAAGCATTCTGGCACTGGCTCTTTAGGTTGATTTTTCCTCCTTCAAGGTTTATCACAAGCAAAATGAATGGTGCTTATCAGCCATGCATTACAGCTAGATTTGGGGGAACAAAATGGAAGAGAGAAAATACTAAACACAGATGTGGGGGAGAGGGTTCTGTAAAATAATCAGGGAAGGGAGGAAAAGTCCCCCGTGCTCCTGTCTCTACCTCAACAAGTATATATCAAGAAAGATAAGCAGAGGGAAAGACAAAGTTGAGGGAGGGAAGAGAAATAAAGACTGACATATGCAGGATCTCTCAGGGGGAAGGATGAGAACAACTGGGGATTGAGTTTTCTCTGGTCCGACCACTAGGAATTTACTTACTGTAAAGAAGGTCTCAGGTTAAGAGAGGCAGCGTACAAGTGACTACGTGTAAAGAAAGAATGTTCATAGGCTGAGAGGAATTTAAGGAGTAATTGACTTCTATTTAATTTTTCTTTAATTGGCACAAGGAAAGTTCGTGATTTAAAATTAAAAAAAAGGAAAACCTATCAAAATGCAAATCAGAAGAATCTTCATGGCAGAAAAGACACATCTAAACAGGGTCCCTACAAATATACCCAGTATAAGCCTCTTCCCACCTTTCCAGTACACATTTGGTTTTTCTAGCTGTTCTATTCCAGTACAACTTAATAGTTCCCCTACTGCTTATAACATGACTTCTGAAGATGCTTGATCTTAAGTAAAAAGGCAATTTCAGGCAGCCTGATCTGGGGGGTAAGTCCTGTATCTTAAATGCAGTGGACGGCTGTTCTCTCTGAGTCTGACTGCTCACAGCCCATTGATTGCAGAACTCACCAAGAGATACTGGTTTCTCTCACTTGACAACTGCACGTACTATAATCAGAAAGACATGACTTTGGGCTCCTCTAAAAAGCCCAAGCCTCGAATTGCTTTTGAAGCAGTATTTGGTCTAACAGAGGCACCAGCAACAATGAACCATTGCCATGGGCATCAAGAGCCCAGCCTTTAAAGCCTGAACCGGAACAAAGATTTCTTTAACTTCTGAAAATGAAAGCACACTTCGAAAATAAACAAATTCTCAAATTGGCTGCAAACTATTTAATCAAATGTTTTTTTGTGGTTTCAGAGAATATTAATACAATCCTAAACATGTTGGCACAATTTTGCTCGCAAATTTCTCTTACTCCAGCTTGCTGCTGTGTTAACTATTTTGCAGAGAGATAAAAGTTGATGAAACAAGGGATAGAAATGATGTGAGGTTTCAATACAAATGTTTGTTTGTATTCTGTCTGGAGTCTTAACTTTGAGCCTAATTAGCTGCATTATCTTGAGCAGGTCCCTAGACATCTCTGGATTTGATTCCTCAACTGGAAATTGAAGGGATTGGATGAGATGAGCTCTAAAATCCCTTCCAGCTCGACAGGCTATAATTCAAATTTTTTCAGCTTCAGTTGTGCCATGACAGGGAACTTTATTGGCAGTCTTGAATTACTTAAAGATGGAGCATACTGCTTCATGCCTATGCAATACTGCCCTGAACAGATATCTCACAGCTGTTCTGCTTCCTCCTGCTAGAGGCTGCTTAGATGAGGGTGAGACTGTGAAGTTCTGTGCCCAGTTTTAAAGAGTTTTTGAAAAGCTGCCATGAGACTCTTAAGATTTTCCTATACCTGACTACCCAAAGCCAACTTTACGAAGCAACAAACAGGCATTCACAGTCAACACCAAGAAAAGCCTCCTCCTGCTCAGCCCCTGCCTTGCCACACAGAACTCTCATTCACAAAAATATTGTCAAGTCTGGGCTCAGATTTTCAATAAAAGACTGATTTAAAAAAAGAAAAGCAATGACATTTCAGGGGCCTGGTTTTCCAGTATTTTCATGTGCAGTAATAAGTTCTGAGTGAGGATGTTTATCAGCAGGATGGACCAAAAACAAAACAAGTACAGGAAAAAACTCTTCTTTCTAATACCCACCTGGGGGCTAAGAACCGCAGCTGGTATTTGTCCTCATTTCTGAATCATCACCAGGGCATCAAGTTCCCTCTTCCCCACTCCTCACTGAGAGACTAGGTTTCTGATCTCACACCTGAGTCCTTGTCCCAACATAAGATATCATATAAAAGGGAGCACCTCACTGAAAGATCAGGCCTCCAACCCAAAACTTCTGGTTTCAGTAGAAAGATCAAGGATAATAGTGAACTTGAACTGCAGTCTATTCTAGGCCACACACAGTTAACCGTTCAACCACTCTATTTGGTAAATACTCATTACAGTCATCCCTTTTTACACATGCAGAAACTGAGACCCAAACACATTAAATAAATTGCGCCAAATCAGCACCACCATACTGACGCTAATGCTAATGCACACACTTGTCAGTTTGCCTGGAGCCATCCATAGCACTCTGTTCTCTCACCTTCAAGAGGGGTTAAGATAGCCAGGAGGAAGAAGGGTTAAAACTAATAGCATTAAAGACTTCAGTATATTTCATTCTCAAATATTCTATCCTTTTTATAACTTTTTATAACTGTCCTCACTCAGACTCTCTGAAGAGAGCTCTGAAAAGTGCGTTAATTTATCTAACAGAAAGACTCACTCGGGTGCCTCTTACATACATAGTAACTACTGAACTGGCTGGTGGAGAGTAGGTTTGAAAGTAGAGAAAAGAACTCCAAGATGTTGTCCATGCCCTAGGAGGATTATAACCCAGTACTGAAGCCTTTCAAACCTCTTCCAAACCTGTTACTTCCCAATGCATCTTCTTTTCTGCCTATATTAAATTAGGAAATCATTTACCTATACTCTACTTTCTCTCAATCTTAGAAATGTGAATTTTAATCATTCATGTGATTTCTTCACTGTCTCTAAAATATATCCTAAGGATGTCCTTGAGCTCTCACAGTAAAATAATTATGTGCAAAATAGTTCTTCCTCCAAATCACCACTTCCTTTCCCAACTTCAGCCTACTAGAAAGACAGTAATTAAAATCACCTGCCTTTAATGACGATGCCATCGGGTCTCCCTTGGTTTCCTTTTTCTGCACAGCACCCAGGCATGGGTGTTGACTGCCAAGGTCTGGAATTTTAACTCCCATATTTCATTTTGTCTTGCTTGTTTTGCTTTTTTTACCTTGATTTTTTTCCTAATAACCCCTTCATTTGCTCCTGTATAAAATGACCAGGCAGGACTAGGAGCCCTTGCCTACAAAGACCCCCATAGTACAATCATGATTACTCTTTTATACAAGAGACAGGAGACTGACATGCTACTCCATCTTTGATTAATTTCTGACATTTGGGTTCTAGTACATAGTTTTTGTTTTAACCAACACTTCCTTAGGGAACATAAGGTGCTAAAATTAAAACACAAAACAAAAAATGCCTCTGCCCTGAGGAGAAGAAAAAGATTTCCTTTTCCTGATTTACTCTCTGAAACTACCCAAAGCTGAATTGATTATCTACTTCCATCTAGAATCACTGGAGTATTGTGCAGTTTTTCTTAAGTTTGACATGCTGTCATGACCCCTATTAGTAGATGGACTTCCCAGTTTTAAAGGCAACAAGTAACAGGAGGCTATTTCTTCTTAGGGTACCCACTCTTTGTTCATTTATTTGTTGTAAAGCTCTATTGGTTCATAGACCTCACAGAATAATGACTTTTTTGAAAACCAGTGCTCACAAATTAATATATAAATTGAATGCTAAGAGTGAAGTCACAGAATAAAGTAAAAAATATATAATAGAATTACATTCACTTGATATTATGTTCCTGGTGCAAATCTATTTTAAAGCCTTACCTAAAAATTTTTTTCTGGATTTTTCAGTTGGATTTGGAACTGCTATTTGGGTCATTACTAGAAATGGAAGCAAGCCTATTCTGCCATGTCTCCTCTCTTTCAATGGCATCAATTATTTATGATTCACATATTCAGAATGTTAGATCTACATGTGACATTGTAGGTAATTTTGTAAGCCCCTGGTATAAGAACAATGCAGTCCCACCTGGAAATGCAGCCCTCTTGAAATAAACACACATGGGGGATACACAGGGAACAGAAGAGGGAGAGGGTCCTCCCACTAGGCAGCCAGATCCGCCAGTCAATCCTGGGGTTCAAAAAATCACTGGCAGATCATACTTCCATCTTCCAGAGGTCCCGGAAAGCAAAAGGACTTGCCCAGGGTCACAAAGCTGATTTAAGCAGTAAGAACTAGCACTCACTGGGTCATCTCCTAGTATGGTCTGTTACCCAGTAAAAGATACACACGACCAGGAATGTCCTTTAAAATGCACATGGTTACCTTAGTCATGGTCGTCTGTGGGCTA